CCCTGAAAGGTTTCAATCCTGGTTCAACCACTTTGAAAATATAATAAAGTTTATTATTGTTATTTAATAAATTCTGTCTCTATATGCTAAATTTGAAGCTATCTGACTTTGTTCTGCCTCCAGCAGAAAGTCCAGGAAGTGACTGGGGTCAAATACTTAATAGACACATAATCCCCTATAAAACACATTAAAGAGTAACTCAATAAATGTTTATTTATTTTTATTGTATTTTTTCATTTATTGAAGATTGATTGAGTGGATGCCGTCATATAATTGGTTAAAACTGGTTCACCTTTTGTTTTACAGGAAGAAAAAAAATCAGATTTTGATATAAAAATACAAAAGAAATTGAGTTATTGGTAAATGTTTTAGCAAACATTGTTAACTAGGGGTACAATATGACAGAGGTTGTGATCTTAAAGGGTTAAAAAAGCTTTTTTTCAGACTTTAATGGACTTTAATGTCAGATTCCCCTTGAAATCAATGAAACGCAGCACTATAAAAACTACCACCTTTGTCCACAGGGGCCGCCAGAAACAACAGGAGCTTGTAAATGAAAGTATTCTCAGTAAAAGTACTTAAAGTAAAAGTACTCATAGTGCAGTGAAATGTTCCCTGTCAGTGTTTTATTATATATGTTTGGATTAATATTACTGCTGTAGATGTTGGAGCTCATTTGACCTACTTTATTTACTAGTAGTATATAATATAATAATGATATAATAATTAATATAAGCAGTGCATCATATTCTATAAGATCATCATGTGTTTGTAGTTTGGCTGTTTTCAGCTTTGTGGTGCTTTTTAAATTTGTTATTTAGTTTAAAGGTCCAGTGTGTAATATTTAGGAGGATCTATTGGCAGAAATTGAAGGTGTGTTTTCATTAGTGTACAATCACCTGGAAATAAGAACTGTTGATCCTCTGTTACCTTAGAATCAGGGCAGGAATTATACCACGACGTAATGCCCCTTCTAAAATGAACTACCCTCACAGTCAGTTTGGTATTGCCCTGTTTTGAACTGGCTGTTTTGTTCAAATAAAATATTTCCTCAATATACTACGAGACACATCAAATGAACAGTTTCCTAGAGTCTGATCACACTGGACATAAACAGTAGCACCAGATTTGTCCCACAGATAAATCCGTAAGCAGAGACGTTGTTAGCGTCTTTGGCGTTAGCAGAGGGGCCGTTTGGTTCCTTCAGTCAGACATACATGCAGTTTTCCGGTTTTGTCAAACAGCTCCCCCTAGAGTCGCTGTGGAGTACTTGTATTTAACGTTAACTGTCGTAAATACCACTCACCAGAGCCGTCTCTATATACGGCTCTGCGTCTCTGCACTCACAGCCTGATCCCCTCCCCCCTGTATACCGGTACATGTTCAGTAGGATGGAAGCGTCGGACATCAAACAGGCAAAGATAGACTCCCAAGATGTCTACTGACCAGGTAACGTCTGAGTGAATGCCTGCTAGTGTCTTCCATTGAGGCTGCTTCTTATGTCGCTGATGTATGTGACGTCACGCCGTAAAGCAATTCGTGATTCTCACGAGATTTGGCGGGACGCCACCTTTCAGACTTGCATTGCTGGTTCTGCCAACAGCGTCCCTCTCATGCTTTGCTATCGGGATGATTCGCTATACTACGAGTTTATTTACAATCGAAATGACTTGGAAGCTGTTATATTAAGGTAAAAATCTTGCATAGTGTGCCTTTAACCTCAGGTTGCAGTTAGCTACTGTGTGTGTTTGCTGCCACGGGAAAGGAAAATAAAGTTACTTCAGTGTCTTCTGAACACTAGCTAGCGTTCGTTAAAGCAGTCAGTTTAAATAACCTAAAACCGGATGTCTCCCAAATATGTTTTCTGATCCTGTTTCTCAGTTTTTTTCCACAGTGGCAAAAAAAAAAAATCAAGAGAAAACACGATGACTGCTAGCAGTTAACTAGCTAACGCATCACACACACTCAGGTTACCCACAATCCACCTTTCTTAATTAATTATTAATGATTAATTATTATTTTCTTAATTTTTATATATTAAATACTGTTGGGTAGTTTTGGTGCCCCAATAAATTTGTATTTATCAAAGGCCAAAGTGGCTTCGCCCTAAAAATGACTTAATCCCATCTACAGCCTGTAGAGTGAGACGTTTTAATCTACAGATGCTAATCCTGGAAATACTCAACTAAAATGCTCGAGAAGTTCAGAGTATTTCAGTCCTCACTCTGATTAAAATAAAAAGAGTCGTCACAGATGATGTGTCGGTGCTGCCACATTTCGTCACTGCGGTTCACAAAACAAACAGTTCAGAGAAAGAGGAGGAGGACATGGAGAGGAAGGAAGGAGGTGTGATACAGAGAAAAACAAAAACCCAAAAGAGGATAGAGAAACCACAGAGAAACACAGCTTCAGCAGAAATCCACCCATTCATCGTCCCAGAAGTAACCGGAGATACCATCAGCTGAGAGACACCGACGGTTAATGTACAAGTAAAAGTTCACGACTGCTCATAGACAGAACAAACCACAAATTATTCATGATATTATATCTTAATGGATGTGCAACTGCAATAAAGCAGCTGTGGTTGTTGTCATCGTCAGCCTGGAGGAAGTCGAGTAAACGGGTATTCATCAGGGGCTTTTCGGGGGGTTTTGTGGTCCACTGATGCCTCTCAGCTCGTTTCAGTTCAGATCCGGTTGAATCAAAAGCAGAAAATGAACCCAAATACCTCCGAAGTATCGAGGCTGATGTGTGTGTTATTGTTCCTCCTTCTCTCTCCGGCTCACATGAAATAAGTTCTGCATCCAATAAAAAGGACAGTGACATCATGTGACGAGAAAAATGCAGAAAATAGCATCACAACAGTGATTTGATATAAAGGAAATTAAACTGAATCCTAATCCCTCGTATCCGGGCTGATTCAGACGTATTCTAATTCATTCTAATGGCTACTACAAACATGTAATATGACACAATTACTAATTACCTGTTAGAAGATAAAGTCACCTAATCTGAGTATCACAATATTAATGTAAATCATAACAGAAGTTATTTCAGGACACTTTTCAAATAGAGACGCTCCGACCAACTCCTTACATCATGATTTACAGAGACACAACAATTCCCACTGGCTAGCTAGTTACATCTGATAGCTAATGTTAGCAAAAAGCAAGCTAACTAACTAGCTAATCTACATCGATCGTTAGCTAGCGTTTCCAAAGACGACTCCCCAGATGGATTTTATAGTTTTTAAGTTGGCTGCTTTAAAGTGTTAAATACATATTTAATCAACATTTAAGTCAAGTATCGTCTAATGGCGATGTTAAGGGTCATAACCTGCTGGGTCGCCCCTCAACTACAACAGTGTAGTTTGAACACTTCTTTTCCCCCAGTGAAGAAAACTTCCTTTAAAAAATAACTGAAGGGACTGAAGAGCAGATCGGGCTAACAGGGCCCTTCACCCAACATCCCACTCTGCTTCACAAAACAAATCCCGCCTGAGCTGCGGAGCATCACTGAAAACGATTTACGGGCCTGAAAGCAGCCGGCGGAGTGAGTCTCAGTGTGTTGAAGACGCGAGGGCTGCAGGCGCGAGCGACTCCTGCCAGCACAGACAGGAAACCGAGGAGCAGCAGGAGCTTCATTCTTCCTCCAAATTGGCAGAACAGGGGGACGATTTACGCTCCGAAAGGCTCGGAGCTCTCCGCCTCCCCTCATCACGCCCAGTCAATAGACTCACAGCAGCGCGTTACGAGTTGTTTGGAAAATGCCTCCACAGCGCCTGAAGGATCAGTGTTCCTCCCGACGATCATCCCACGCACAGTCGACTGCAGGAGGATCTCGCATTCATTATCCGTCCTTATCAGCTCTAATGAGAGAGACTCAACTCTGGCAGCGGTCCCCCGTCACACATCCATCCTCATCTATCCTGCAAACGGGCGATTCCTGCATGTTTTACAGTAAAACTGCTTCTAATGTGCAAAGAATGAACTTAGAGTACACCACAGGGAGCAAAAACCGCATTAAAAACTCATCTGGTGAATATGTTTCAGTTCAGCCGAGACCTCCTTCCCCTAGAACCTTGAATGGGTCACCCACTTTACAAAAGAAATATTCGGAATTATTGCACTCTAGTGCTTCATCCAACCCAATGTTATTGTACATTTTAAGAAAGTAATTGACCATTAAAGTCCCGCCCTTTGTGGAAACTGTCAACTTTCTTCTTTCCTGTATTTAGATATGCTATATGCTAGGCTAATCTATGTTGAAAAAGATTGATTAAAAGATATATAGATATAGATATATAGATTAATACAGATTAGCTAGCTAGTTAGCTTCCTTTTGGTAACATTAGCTACCAGATGTAACAAGCTAGCTAGTAGGAATTGTTGGGTCATGACCTGCTCATACATAAATGAAATAACTTCTGTTATGATTTGGAGCGATACAAACTGTATATATTGGTTTTATCTTTTAACCATCTTCAAAATGTGGTTGTCTTTTCAACATAGATATATATCCATATAAGTACAGGAAAGGAAGAAGTTGACTGAGATTTGCTCAACTGTGATTAGAGCACAGAGCAAAAAGGGGCGGGACATAATTACTCTGAGCACCATGTCCATCAGAGTAGAGAGGAAAGACACAAAGACAGAAGGAAAACTGTTAAAAACATTTTATCGTAGGATTTATCTAAATAGTGTTTATAGAATCATCAGAGAACTGTTGGGAATTATAGGTCAGATGTCCCCAAATAACAACAGCCTCCATCTCTGTTCATCAGCACACCTCAACACATTCAGTTCCTTAACAATCAATTAAAATTAACCAGCTGAGCTAAGGATTCTGGGATCACAACCAGCATCTTAAACACCTCTTTCACCATAAACTCCACCAGCAACCATCACTGTTTCACCGACCAGATAAAGCAGCAGCGATGACGACAAACCTCCCAACACAGCAGTTCAATCAGAGACAGCTGATGGAAACAGTGAACTTACATGTGTGAGTCTTCTTCCCAGCTGCTGACAGACCTGCAACACAAAGACAAACACAACCATTATTTTAAACTGCAGATCATCTGGAAAGTGTTGATGTATCTGTCGTCACCATGTGGAGAACCAAAGTGAAACCAGAACTTCCAGATTCTGTTCCAGAAGTAAGAAAACCTCATTCAAAGAAGAAGATTTACTTTATTAGTCCCAATGGGGAAGCTATTTATTCACACACAAGGCTTACAGACAGTGGATGCAGTGGAGCAGCAGGTGGAGTGATGAGCTGCCACATAACAGCACCCTGGGAGGAGTCAGGGGTTATGTGCCTTGCTCAAGGGCAGAGCACAGGAGGTGGAACTGGCACCTCTCCAGCTACCAGTTCGCAGTCCATACTGTGGTCCATGCTGGACTGGACTTGAACCGGTGAACCTCGGGGTCCCAAGCCAACTCCCTGCAGACTGAGCTCCTGCCGCCTAAAACCCACACAAACTATGTGCTCAGTGAAAGCTGGGGCAGTCTGTCAGGGGCAAAAACTACTTTTAGTGGACGTACTTTGATACTTAGCTTCCTTTGCTGCTATGATTTACGGCCAATTCTGCAAAAAATTTCACATCCAGCTCTGTGAATTAAGAGTTGTTGGAAAGACTGACGGTTTTGGTGAGTTTCATTTTGTTTCTGTCACTTTGAATGAAGTAACGTAAGTTTTTTTTCTATGGAGTCTGGCAGCACGTGAGTATGACCCGAGGCAGAGGCAGACTCTGTGGTGCAGAGGCAAAGTGGGTCATCCCCTAATCCGAAGGTTGTAGGTTCGATGCTGTGCATCAGTGCGTGAATGTGTATGAATGTGTTAGCTTCCGTTCGATGGGTTTTGCCATTGCTGAGTGAATGTGTGTGAAAGGGTGAATGTGGCTGTAGTGTAAAAGCACTTTGAGTGGTCGGAAGAATAGAAAGGTGCTATACAAGTACAGGTCCGTTTACCATTTATATATTATCCCTGTCAGTGGCAAAAACAACGTTTAGTGGACGTACTTTTTACATCTATTTTAACATCTAAGTCACTGAACTAAAGGTTTCTTTTGATTGTTGGACTCTTTTCCGTCCAGTTTGAACTGTGTTTTATGATTATCTGCAAGGTAGAATTAGTGTATTTGTCAATGGAATAAATGAAAACATTTGAACTTTCCATGACATGATTGCAGCATTTGCCCCACTCCCTCTTATTTCTCCCAGTTATGTAAAACAAAAATACAACACACAATTCAACAGTCAGTTCTTGCTTTTCATTTGACCCCCTTTGTATGTTTCAGTTCCATCTCTGTAGGACTCTTTTATATTTCACTGCAGACACACACAAAGTGAACAGAACAATAATTTACACAGTGAGTCATTTCCACCCTCTCTAGAGTGAGGCAGATATTTCGGGGTATTTGTTGACACGCATCATCAGAGTGTGATGCAGCTCGCCGTCTGGCTTCCCTCCAGAAGACCATGGGGGAGCCGGTGCCGGTCCCGGGGCCAAAATCTGCCGGGGCCACGGTGGCTTGCTCCCCTGGTGACGCTCCGTTCGCTCGGCCCATCTGGACCAAACCAAAGAGTGTGTGTGTGTGTGATTCTGTGCTTTAACGTGTGTCCATCTGTGAACTGTATGCGAGTCGATACCGACAGCAAGAAAGAGGTGGAAGCTGTTACCGTGGCAAACGGGTCTCCCCTTAGGACAAGTGTGTGTGTGTGTGTGTGTGTCTGTCTGGTTCATTTGTACAGTACTTTCAGTGGACGTACTGTGACGCGCACATAAGTCTCCAAGGATTAGCTACGTTATATGAACCCGTTTTATGAATGTATGGTTACATCTAACTCTGTAAATTAAGGATTTATTTAAACCAAATAAGCCGGTTCTGGTGAGTTTTATTTGGTTCCTGTCCAGTTTTAAGGGTGAGGTAAAGTTATTAGTTTTGCCGATGGACTCTGCTGGGCTGCGGCGTCCATGTTTGTGATCTAGTGGGGGTTAATTTCAGCTTTGTAACCTTTACATTGCTGAACAACAAAACTGATTGTATGTTGCGTCATGGCACACCGTTCACTTTAATGACGTCGGGTTCGCACACAAATTCAGTTTGCCGTAGGAAGGTGAAAAATAATTAGTGTGACGGGGTTGTTTGTTGGCCCGAGCTGCATCCTCCCACCCAAGTTTAATGAAAATCTGGCCAAAGCTATGCTGTGCAAATAAACTTGTTGCCTATAATCCACATATCATATATATAAAGTAGTTATGGAACATTATCAGATGTCGGAATGACAAAAAGACATCAGTTTTACAGACAGGTGATGTCAGCAATGTTACATATAGTGTCTGAAAAGTGTTTTTTTAATCCACAGTGAATTGATTTTCAACAGCAAGACGCCTCTCGCTGCAAAAAACACTCAATGTGATCGGGATCAGAGCAGGATCATCCTCACTATTTGTCTTTGTGCTGGGAATTGATTTTAAAAAACTGATTTTTAATGCAAATTTCTTTATGATATATATGTCCTAATGAAATATGTTAAAACTGATATATCAGATATTGGAGTTTTATTTGTACGATGTCTGTTCTTCCATTCAGTCCCCCCTGTCCCTGGTACAGTTCACCTCTTCTGTCAAATCTCCTCCCATCAGCCATCTGGTCGTCTGCCATCACACACACACACACACAGGATGTTTCATCAGACATGCAGCGCTGCGTCTCCTTGTTCAGTCCTTCCAGTCACCTGAGATTTCAGTCACCTGAGGCCACCAAAACTTTTTAAAGTGATATTTATAGTTTTTACATTTTTATGCAGTTTTAATTCTTTGACTGGATTGAACTTTATAACAGTATAAATATATTTTTTTTTCTGAGCTCTGGATTCAAAAGCCATATCTGGTTGTTAGTGCTATACAGCATCCGTCGTTAGATTTTATTGTATAGGGCCAAATCATAACAGAAATTATCTCAGGACACTTTTCAAATAAAGCAGGTCTCCTTGGCGACAGTGGCGAGTCCTTAAAGTTTGCTTTATGTGCGAGTTAAAGCAGTGGTGTAGTGGTCCCTGGAGAAGTTGGTATACTCTCAATTTTTGCCCTTTTTTAATGCAGCCCAGAAAAACGCCCTGTTTTAGAAACATGTGACATGTAAGACTACTCTATTTAGTTTACCCAAAAATCTGTCAGTAGTATTTGCTCATTGTCACATAATTTCTGCTGCTTGATCTCAGGGAGGAAGGATTATGAAATTAATAAACCAATACTGGCCCACAGACTAGTGAGAGACAACTATGCATTTTGAGTGAACTATTCCTTCTTCCTGTCTTTGAACAGCTGATTTGCAACAGCAGCATGGGCCAGAGTGTGCCACTATTATAAAATTAACATGACTTTGCAGTTTGTAGGTATAGATAGATAGATAGATATTATATTATATATATTTTATTTATATTAGATATATAGGTATTACTGGTCACACAGGCAGCCTTCATGAATGTAAAATATAGATGAGGCAAACATGGTGTTTCAGTTATTTTTTGAACATTTATTTAAATAAAATACTTCAAGTACCGGCATCTTTGGCTGTGGGCGAAGAGGCAGCGTCTCCTTCACTGACAGCATCCTCTCCGACGGGGGTGGGGGGCTGCCTCCGATTGGCTCATTCGTCATCATACCTAAAGTTAACCAATCTAATCAGTAAAGGCAGCGAGTACTAGCCAATTAGAGGCAGAGTAGCGTGGGTCATGGCTTCACCATCCTAGGGAAAAAATGGGCAATTTGGCTCGCAGATACTACTGAATGGTGCGCATCGGGTCTAGACCTGCTCTATTTGAAAAGTGTCCTGAGATAACTTCTGTTATGAATTGGCGCTATACAAATAAAATTGAATTGAATTGAATCGGGGGGGTTTAGAAGTGGGTATACGCAATGCTGACTGAAAAAAAAGTGGGTATACGCCGTATACCGGCGTATACCCTGGACTACACCAGTGAGTTAAAGGACATATTCTGATCAAAGATAACCTGAAGATTCCTGATGCTGTTGCTGGAGGCCAAGGTAACACCATCTAGGGTAACGATATCTTAGACCTGGGGGTCAGGGCCCCCACTAGGGGTCCCCAAAGCTCGAGTCACAAGGCCTTCTTGATTCTGAAGGGTGTACGAAACTTTTACACAGTGGGTCTATATCTCAGAATTTTGTTCATTTCTGTGAAGAAAACTAAATGAAATTGTTATTTTTTTAAGTTTAGATTATTATTTAAGATCTAAACTTTGAAGACATGAACACAGTGTATAATGAAACAGCCTCGTCCTGCATTAGAAAACACCTAAAGCACTGAATTTAGATAATGAGTTTCGGAGGTGTTTGGGACCAAGTACTTCAGTTTTTTGTCTGAGAAAAGATAGATATAACTGGGTATCATCTGCATAAGGGGGGCAATAGCTCAGTGTGTAGGGACTTGGCTTGGGAAACACAGGGTCGCCAGTTCAAGTCCCACAGACCACAAAAATATGTGCACTGCTGAGGTGCCCTTGAGCAAACCCCCAAAACCTGCTCATGGGGCACCAGCAATGTTGCAGCCCCATCACTCCACCATCTCTCTCCCCGTTGCATGTCCACAAGTGCATGAAGTTTGCATTTCAGTGTGTGTGTGTGTACAAACAAAGAGTGAAAAGAACAATTTCTGTTATTTCTTCTTCATAACAGTGAAATAATAATGTTGCCTAAGGTAAGCATATATAAGGTGAGTAGAATTGTTTATTCTACTCTATTCTATACTCTATTCTACAATTAACCTGTACAATCTGAGATCGATCTGATAAATAGGACTTGCTATGATGTACTCTAAATTATCTCATAGTATCTCATAATTATTTAAAGCACACAACTGACCAATGCACACTCAAAGTACAACCTGAACATGAGATAAATAGAATTTAATTCATCCAAAAGAAATGTTTGTGCCAAAGATAAAGATACTCTGTATGCAAAAACAAGTGCATACGATGGCAGCAGAAGATACAATGTTAATTAA